TAGGGTTTAAATAGTTTGCTTTATAATCTTGATCCACACATTTTCTTATTTCTCATTGTTTTAAATGTCTTTGTTTCATTTAATTGATTTGTTAAAGAAGCCTGTGTGAAATCAAATAAACCGAGCCTGGTTTTTAATGTGCATGAAACGCCAGTTCTTTGAACCAACAGCAACAACAAAAACCAAACTGTGGATGAAAAAAATATATAATTAGCCGTTAAGTAGCCATTTTTCTCCAAGCCTCTATACTGCATTTCATACCTCCTGGCTGCCATCTTGGATCGCCATACTGTGTAGCAAAGAATAGGGACATCAGTAACATACTTGTTAAGTTTGGTGTGAAATGGTCTGACAGAAAACTAAAGAAGAATGGAGTGTTTGGTGTGCACAAAAGTTTTATTAGACATTTTTGATAGTAGAAACTTGACAAATTAAGGATCATACTTCCCATGCATCACAAGAGCTTCTTGTCCTCAAAGGCCACTCTCACTTCTCTGACAGGAGGGTTGAGCAAGGGGTTGTTTTGATCTAGACAGCAAGATATCGCTAAATATTCTCTTTGCTTCACATTGTACCTTCAAAAAATCTCCTCTCTGTCTTAGGTATGTTGAAGAGCAGTCATTACATCTGCAGACTTACACTTTAATAAGTCTGAATCACACAAAACATGGACAACACATCTGTTTTGGTGGGCTTTGAAGATGAGTGCTCACACTAAGTCTTTTATCTGAATGTAAATATAGCATCAGAGTGCTGTTTTTCCACTTTGTGTTGAGATGCCATATAAATATGAAGAATGTCTCAGAAAACATGCAGCGGTGAAGAAAATATTTGGCACAAATTCTTCCCTCACTCAGCCCCTTTAGATCATTTGGGGTCAGATATGGAAAAAGGGCCACTGACTCAGCTGAGCAGCATGAGTTTTAGACCGACTGAGGTTGGAAGAAGCTATGGTCGCCTCCAAAACCCCCAAGTACCACGACATGGGGTCAGTCCAACCCCTGACAAAGTCAAAGGGCCCTGAAGGACTTTTTAGTCTTTCTCTCTTTTTACATGTGCTAAGAGAGACATTTTAAACTCAGTGACAAACTTTTCTTCTTTTCAGGAACTGTGCCTCCCAGTGCATTGGGAATATACAATCCTGCTAGTGTGCGTTTTAGACTCGCCATTATGTGATTTTTGTCCTCTGGGATATCTATTTAATCAAAAGCAATCTACAGTCTTTTAGAAGATTTTTCAAAGAAATTTCTTGAAAGGAAGTCGGCTGCAGATAGACTGAAGCTCATTGTGGCAGTTCAAAGCTTAACTGTAATTTTCATATAGTAATTTGACGGTATAATATACCAGTTCAGGGTGCTGGGTAGCTGCTTTCATGAGGGGACTTGTGCAAATCAGTATCATGATAATCTACCAAAAACATCCATCTCCATAACAAAACATGATACATGAGGATAAGAGACATGTTGTGCCAAGATCCAGCCTAAATCCAGCCTACGGGGCTACTTTAACAGCCTCAACACTCTTTTTGTGCATATCAATAGCCACGGCAACCAGCTGTTTCTCGCTGTGCACCTCCAAAAGGCGCATCTGAAACCATTTAAATCAAAAGCAGTCACAGTTTCCACAGTGCATTATAGGCATTCCAGCATGGCCTTTCACTCCATGCTGCGTAGCCTCACTCAGCAGGGGAGCGCAGTATAAAGCGGGCACACAGCAACACAAATATGTGGCCCACTGCGCATTCCCCTCAGGAACACTAAAGGAGAAAGAGACAGAGAGAAACAGACAGAGAAGGAAAAAGACGAACAACTTCAGAGTTTCTCTGCTTCAGCTTTTCGGGTTAAAACCTTTTCCCTGCCTCAGATAAGAACCTTTCTTTTTCTTTGAATGCTTTGTCTTCTGGCCAGATCAGGGCAAAACAGAGAGAAAAAAGAGGAGAGCCGTCTTACTGGCACACCCCTGCGGTGGGTGCTCAAACAAAAGGAGTAAGAGGGAGAACAATGGTTGGTACTAGCCTATGGATGCAAGCTTCAATTACAACACTAGGGCCCCGTTGGGGCACTGGCGGGCCCGAGCCGTGTCACGCCACCCCCAGCGCGACCGCCTCCCCCACCCGATCGCGTCACACTCAAGGTCCAAAGATGGTGTGCGCACTTGTTTGTGGTCATTTACCATTATAATGAACGGGAGGCGCAGTTTCTACCAAAACGCTCGCTGCAGAAAAACTCCATGTCCTATTTGAAAAAAGTCTGGACCATGAGTGAGGGCACAAACACAGCTAAGATATATCCAAATGGCAAGTTGCTCCTCCTTTCGCTTTTGCCGAGAGAGCAGTGCGTTTGAGCCATTGAATGATGAACAGGAAAAACTTGACTTTATTCTCCTGCCATGGGGGGGCGCTCTTTTAACGAGAAAAAACTCCTTCACAAATGTGTTGATGGCTGGACATTGCATCATCCTAGAAAACATGGAGGCCAGTGAGGACAAAAATAAAAAGTTATAAGACTTTTAAATATGTGGATTTTAGGGTTATCTTTGGCGCCCCCTAGAACCTAAACCGTGGGGTGCAGCGTCATGATTTGAATAACTTTTAATGGCCATGGGGTGTAGATTGGCCTGAGCAAATGTGGTGCCGGTGGAACGAAAGCCTTCAAAAGGAGTTAGCGAAATTCCAATGTGTGCGAATCTGCAAAAAATGCGAAATAACCCTTTAACCGTACATTTTACAGATACGTGGCCATTGACTTTTTCGAAGATCTTATTGAAAGACACGTGTATGTAAAATTTTGTGTCAATACGACAAAACATACAGGCGTAGCACTCAACAATGTGTATTTTCACCTTAGTGGACAAGAAAAAATGGACTTTTTTCTCCTGCCATCGGGGGGCGCTCTTTTGGCGAGTAAAAATTCCTTCACAAATGTGTTGATGGCTGGACATTGCATCATCCTAGAAAACTTGGAGGCCAGTTGGGACAAAAATAAAAAGTTATAAGACTTTTAAATATGTGGATTTTACGGTTATCTTTGGCGCCCCCTAGAACCTAAACCGTGGGGTGCAGCGTCATGATTTGAATAACTTTTAATGGCCATGGGGTGTAGATTGGCCTGAGAAAATGTGGTGCCGGTGGAACGAAAGCCTTCGGAGGAGTTAGCGAAATTCCAATGTGTGCGGATCGGCAAAAAATGCGGAATAACCTTTTAACCGTACATTTGACAGATACGTGCGCATTGACTTTTTTGTAGATCTTATTGAGATACATGTGTGTGTCAATTTTGGTGTCATTTTGCCAAAGCGTACAGGTGTTACACTCAACAATGTGTATTTTCACCTTAGGGGACAAGAAAAAATTGACTTTTTTCTCCTGCCATGGGGGGGCGCTCTTTTGGGGAGTAAAAATTCCTTCACAAATGTGTTGATGGCTGGACATTGCATCATCCTAGAAAACTTGGAGGCCAGTGAGGGCAAAAATAAAAAGTTATAAGACTTTTAAATATGTGGATCTTAGGGTTATCTTTGGCGCCCCCTAGAACCTAAACCGTGGGGTGCAGCGTCATGATTTGTATAACTTTTAATGGCCATGGGGTGTAGATTGGCCTGAGCAAATGTGGTGCCGGTGGAACGAAAGCCTTCGGAGGAGTTAGCGAAATTCCAATGTGTGCGGATCTGCAAAAAATGCGAAATAACCCTTTAACCGTACATTTGACAGATACGGCCGCACTGACTTTTTTGTAGATCTTATTGAGATACATGTGTGTGTCAATTTTTGTGTCATTTTGACAAAGCGTACAGGCGTGACAGTCAATAGTGTGAATTTTCACCTTAGGGGGCGCTATGGAGCCATTTTGCATTTTCTTGTTTGGGCGACTTCGGAATATCAAATTTTTCACCAGGCCCGGTCGTCCTGCCAAATTTCATGAGTTTTCGCCAGTGGGAAGTGGGCCATTTTCCAGTTCAAAGGGGAGGAAAAATAATAACTAGGGCCCCGGTGGGGCACTGTCGGGCCCGAGCCGCGTCGCGCCGCCCCCAGCGCGACCACCTCCCCCTCCCGATCGCGTCACACTCAAGGTCCAAAGATGGTGTGCGCACTTGTCTGTGGTCATTTCCCATTATAATGAATGGGAGGCGCAGTTTCTACCAAAACACTCGCTGCAGACAAACTACATGTCCTATTTGAAAAAAGTCTGGACCATGAGTGAGGGCACAAACACAGCTAGGATATATCCAAACGGCAAGTTGCTCCTCGTTACGGTGTTGCCGGGAGAGCGATGCGATTGAGCCATTGAGTGATGGGCAGGAAAAACTTGACTGTTTCTCCTGCCATGGGGAATGGGGTATGGGGGATGGGGGGGGGGATGTGGATTCTTTTAAGAATGTGGATATTTGGGTCATCTTTGGCGCCCCCTAGAACGTAAACCGTGGGGTGCAGCGTCATGATTTTTACAACTTTGAATGGCCATGGGGTGTAGATTGGCCTGAGCAAATTTGGTGTCAGTGGGACGAAAGCCTTAGGAGGAGTTAGCCACATTCCAATGTGTGCGAATCGGCAAAAAATGCAAAATAGCCCTTTAACCGTACATTTGACAGATACGCGCGCATTGACTTTTTCGTAGATCTTATTGAGATACACGTGATTGTCAAATTTTGTGTCAATATGACAAAGCGTACAGGCGTAACAGTCAATAGTGTGAATTTTCACCTTAGGGGACAAGAAAAAATGGACTTTTTTCTCCTGCCATGGGGGGGCGCTCTTTTGGGGAGTAAAAATTCCTTCACAAATGTGTTGATGGCTGGACATTGCATCAACCTAGAAAACTTGGAGGCCAGTGAGGACAAAAATAAAAAGTTATAAGACTTTTAAATATGTGGATTTTTGGGTTATCTTTGGCGCCCCCTAGAACCTAAACCTTGGGGTGCAGCGTCATGATTTTGATAACTTTTAATGGCCACGGGGTGTAGATTGGCCTGAGCAAATGTGGTGCCGGTGGAACGAAAGCCTTCGGAGGAGTTAGCGAAATTCCAATGTGTGCGGATCGGCAAAAAATGCGAAATAACCCTTTAACCGTACATTTGACAGATACGCCCGCACTGACTTTTTTGTAGATCTTATTGAGATACATGTGTGTGTCAATTTTTGTGTCAATATGACAAAGCGTACAGGCGTGACAGTCAATAGTGTGAATTTTCACCTTAGGGGGCGCTATGGAGCCATTTTGCATTTTATTGTTTGGGCGACTTCAGAATATCGAATTTTTCACCAGGCCCGGTTGTCCTGCCAAATTTCATGAGTTTTCGCCAGTGGGAAGTGGGCCATTTTCCAGTTCAAAGGGGAGGAAAAAGAAGAAAGAAAGAAAGAACTAGGGCCCCGTTGGGGCACTGGCGGGCCCGAGCCGTGTCGCACCCCCCCCCCCCCCCCCAACGCGCTGCCTCCCCGTCCCATTCGTGTCCTCTGGCCATCGCCCTCTCTGGTAACGCCCATCACTGCAAAGACCCTTTTCCTTCATCGGCGTTTGCTGTTCTTCCTGCCAGTGCGTGTTGCTTTCACTTACACTTGCCACAGCCAGCCTCGTGAGTGCCTAGCCTATTGGATATCACTGTCACCTACACAGGACAGTCATTACCTTTCTATTAATACTTTGTTTTTAATTTCACATTAATTTCCATATTGTATAAACAACTGGAAAAAACTTGAGCCCCTGCCCCTGTATTATCATGTGCACGTCCCTGTTCTAGCTCCAAGGTGAATCTTCACGGCTCATGTTCTCCTCAGAAGCAGTCACCTCACTCCCCTCAGGTTACTGTACACATGCACCAACTGCCTGCTTCAGGTTTGGATGGAGCTTCATGGTTGTCTTTTGGAGAAATGAGCAGTCAAGTTGTGTTTGAAATTTGATTTTTTTCAGGGGCAAAAGGAAGCCTCTGCATTCTTGTCAAATATGTAAATAGCATGTTTTTGCAGGTGCTAAAAAACAGACTCTGAGTGTGTGTGTGTGTGTGTGTGTGTGTGTGTGTGTGTGTGTGTGTGTGTGTGTGTGTGTGTGTGTGTGTGTGTGTGTGTGTGTGTGTGTGTGTATCCTGCAGTACTCTGAGAAGAATAATAAGCATATTTCTGAGGTGAATTTTGAAGATTCATCTGAGAGTTAGGTTTGATTCGATTCGATTGACGCTCCCCAGCGTTCAAGTCACATGACATATTTAACCGGATGTAGCTGCAATACGGAGCCTCGTTAACTCTCCGTTTCAACTTATCTCAAAAGTGAGGACCTCAACCTATATACCAGTTTTTAAATTGTGTTGATAGGCCAAATAAAACCAGAGTTATGATAAATTATGTCCGCGATACTTTTTTTCTGCTTATTTTGATCACGTTCGGCGCTCGATCGCGCTGTATGAGACAGGAAAACATAGCATGCACACATTAGCGACAGGTCTTACAGGCGGAAAAGGCTTGCCAAAAGAAAAAAAAACACACCACAACATCTCTCCTATTGGTGGAAAACTTCACCACAACAACCAATCCAAAATTATATGGTGACTGATTGACAAGGGGCGGGCGCTTACGTTCTTCCTGCAACATGAGAAGGGAGGGAGGGACTCTCAGCAGGGATGCAGTCTGGGACACGTAGTTGCAAACCTAGCGACTTTGTTGTTAGATTCAATTACTTTTCAGACCCCCTAACGACTTTTTTTTGAAAGAAAGGGACTTTTATCGACTTCTTCTGGAGTTTAGAGACTCTGACATGAAGCAGGCTTTCCTTACTGAGGAGTTAGCAACGCTGCTAAGGGTGCAGAGCCACACATGCGCTCCGAGCTCTGCATGGGAGACTGAAGCTGACAGAGCTGCAGCAGTTAGCAGGTTTCACCCTCAGAGACCACCAGGGGTTCATGTTGAGGCATTTTCAGTTTTTGTTTTTTTTGCCATAGACTGTCAGCACAATCTGCAGTTACACTAACAAAAATGCTGCAAAAAACAAAGAATTATGGAAAAATTACACATGGACTGACATAGAGGAGGATCTACACAAGTTTTTTACATCATGTTTTACATCATGCATCATTTACATCATGTTTTTTTGTAGTGGCATAAATAAAAAGTGACATTTGTGAGACTATACAGTGTTTTGTAAATAATTTTACAAAGAACGCCTGGGCCGTTGCCTGCATTTTGATGTAAATAGAGGTAAATTACTATGTTCTTTGTTAAAAATTTGCATATGTTTTGAAGTTTACAATTTTTATTTGAAGTTTAAGTTTTAAAAACAGTTCATCACACATATTTGTGGTTTAATTTCACATTAATTTCCATATTGTATAAATGACTGGAAAAAACTTGAGCCCCTGCCCCTGTATAATCATGTGCACGTCCCTGTTCTAGCTCCAAGGTGAATCTTCACTTCTCATGTTCTCCTCAGAAATAGTCACCTCACTCCCCTCAGGTTACTGTACACATGCACCAACTATCTGCTTCAGGTTTGGATGGAGCTTCCTGGTTGTCTTTTGGAGAAATTAACAGTCAAGTTGTGTTTGAAATCTAATTTTTTTCAGGGGCAAAAGGAAGCCTCTGCATTCTTGTCAAATATGTAAACAGCATGTTTTTGCAGGTGCTAAAAAACAGACTCTGAGTGTGTGTGTGTGTGTGTGTGTGTGTGTGTGTATGTGTGTGTATCCTGCAGTACTCTGTACTCCTGCAGTGGCCAAAAAGACTTTTAAGAATGTGGATTTTTGGGTCATCTTTGGCGCCCCCTAGAACTGCAGTACTCTGTACTCCTGCAGTGGCCAAAATGACTTTTAAGAATGTGGATTTTTGGGTCATCTTTGGCGCCCCCTAGAACGTAAACCGTGGGGTGCAGCATCATGATTTTTACAACTTTGAATGGGCATGGGGTGTAGATTGCCCTGAGCAAATTTGGTATCGGTGGGACGAAAGTCTTAGGAGGAGATAGCCACATTCCAATGTGTGCGAATCGGCAAAAAATGCGAAATAGCCCTTTAACCGTACATTATACAGATACGCGCTTTTTGACTTTTTCGTAGATCTAATTGAGATACACATGATTGTCAATTTTTGTGTCAATATGACAAAGCGTTCAGGCGTGACACTCAACAATGTGTATTTTCATGTAAGGGGACAAGAAAAAAAGGACTTTTTTCTCCTGCCATGGGGGGGCGCTCTTTTGGGGAGTAAAAATTCCTTCACAAATGTGTTGATGGCTGGACATTGCATCATCCTAGAAAACTTGGAGGGCAGTGAGGACAAAAATAAAAAGTTATAAGACTTTTAAGAATGTGGATTTTGGGTTATCTTTGGCGCCCCCTAGAACGTAAACCGTGGGGTGCAGCGTCATGATTTGTACAACTTTTAATGGCCATGGGGGGTAGATTGGCCTGCGCAAATGTGGTGCCGGTCGAACGAAAGCCTTCGGAGGAGTTAGCGAAATTCCAATGTGTGCAGATCTGCAAAAAATGCAAAATAACCCATTAACCGTACATTTGACAGATACGCCCGCACTGACTTTTTTGTAGATCTTATTGAGATACATGTGTGTGTCAATTTTTGTGTCAATATGACAAAGCGTACAGCCGTCATGTGAATTTTCACCTTAGGGGGCGCTATGGAGCCATTTTGCATTTTATTGTTTGGGCGACTTCAGAATATCGAATTTTTCACCAGGCCCGGTCGTCCTGCCAAATTTCCTGAGTTTTCGCCAGTGGGAAGTGGGCCATTTTCCAGTTTAAAGCGGAGGAAAAATAATAACGAAAGAAGGAAACATGCAGGAACAAGAGGGCTCTCGCAGCTGCTTAGCAGCTACGCTCGGGCCCTAAAGAAAGAAAGAAACAAAGACTAGGGCCCCGTTGGGGCACTGGCGGGCCCGAGCTGTGTTGCGCCCCCCCCCCCCCCACCAATGCGCTGCCTCCCCGTCCCATTCGCGTCCTCTGGCCATCGTCCTCTCTGGTAACGCCCATCACTGCAAAGACCCTTTTCCTTCATCGGCGTTTGCTGTTCTTCCTGCCAGTGCGTGTTGCTTTCACTTACACTTGCCACAGCCAGCCTCGTGAGTGCCTAGCCTATTGGATATCACTGTCACCTACACAGGACAGTCATTACCTTTCTATTAATACTTTGTTTTTTAATTTCACATTAATTTCCATATTGTATAAACGACTGGAAAAAACTTGAGCCCCTGCCCCTGTATAATCATGTGCACGTCCCTGTTCTCGCTCCAAGGTGAATCTTCACTGCTCATGTTCTCCTCAGAAGCACTCACCTCACTCCCCTCAGGTAACTGTACACATGCACCAACTGCCTGCTTCAGGTTTGGATGGAGCTTCATGGTTGTCTTTTGGAGAAATGACCAGTCAAGTTGTGTTTGAAATTTGATTTTTTTCAGGGGCAAAAGGAGCCTCTGCATTGTTGTCAAATATGTAAATAGCATGTTTTTGCAGGTGCTAAAAAACAGACTCTGAGTGTGTGTGTGTGTGTGTGTGTGTGTGTGTGTGTGTGTGTGTGTGTGTGTGTCTGTGTTTGTGTGTGTCTGTGTGTGTGTATCCTGCAGTACTCTGTACTCCTGCAGTGGCCAAAACGACTTTTAAGAATGTGGATATTTGGGTCATCTTTGGCGCCCCCTAGAACGTAAACCATGGGGTGCAGCGGCATGATTTTTACAACTTTGAATGGCCATGGGATGTAGATCGGCTTGAGCAAATTTGGTGTCGGTGGGAAGAAAGCCTTAGGAGGAGTTAGCCACATTCCAATGTGTGCGAATCTGCAAAAAATGCGAAATAGCCCTTTAACCGTACATTTTACAGATACGTGCCCATTGACTTTTTCGTAGATCTTATTGAGATACACGTGATTGTCAAATTTTGGGTCAATATGACAAAGCGTATAGGCGTGACACTCAACAATGTGTATTTTCACCTTAGGGGACAAGAAAAAATTGACTTTTTTCTCCTGCCATGTGGGGGCGCTCTTTTGGGGAGTAAAAATTCCTTCACAAATGTGTTGATGGCTGGACATTGCATCATCCTAGAGAACTTGGAGGCCAGTGAGGACAAAAATAAAAAGTTATAAGACTTTTAAGACTGTGGATTTTTGGGTTATCTTTGGCGCCCCCTAGAACGTAAACTGTGGGGTGCAGTGTCATGATTTGTACAACTTTTAATGGCCATGGGGTGTAGATTGGCCTGAGCAAATGTGGTGCCGGTGGAACGAATGCCTTCGGAGGAGTTAGCGAAATTCCAATGTGTGCAGATCGGCAAAAAATGCGAAATAACCCTCTAACTGTACATTTCACAGATGCGCCCGCGCTGACTTTTTCGTAGAACGTATTGAGATACACGTGTGTGTCAATTTTTGTGTCAATATGACAAAGCGTACAGGCGTGACAGTCAATAGTGTGAATTTTCGCCTTAGGGGGCGCTATGGAGCCATTTTGCATTTTATTGTTTGGGCGACTTCAGAATATCGAATTTTTCACCAGGCCCGGTCGTCCTGCCAAATTTCATGAGTTTTCGCCAGTGGGAAGTGGGCCATTTTCCAGTTTAAAGCGGAGGAAAAATAATAACTAGGGCCCCGTTGGGGCACTGGCGGGCCCGAGCCGCGTTGCGCCGCCCCCAGTGCGACCGCCTCCCCCTCCCGATCGCGTCACACTCAAGGTCCAAAGATGGTGTGCGCACTTGTCTGTGGTCATTTCCCATTATAATGAATGGGAGGCGCAGTTTCTACCAAAACACTCGCTGCAGACAAACTACATGTCCTATTTGAAAAAAGTCTGGACCATGAGTGAGGCCACAAACACAGCTAGGATATATCCAAACGGCAAGTTGCTCCTTGTTACGGTGTTGCCGGGAGAGCGATGCGATTGAGCCATTGAGTGATGGGCAGGAAAAACTTGACTGTTTCTCCTGCCATGGGGGATGGGGGATGGGGGGGGGATGTGGATTCTTTTAAGAATGTGGATATTTGGGTCATCTTTGGCGCCCCCTAGAACGTGAGCCGTGGGGTGCAGCGTCATGATTTTTACAACTTTGAATGGCCATGGGGTGTAGATTGGCCTGAGCAAATTTGGTGTCAGTGGGACGAAAGCCTTAGGAGGAGTTAGCCACATTCCAATGTGTGCGAATCGGCAAAAAATGCAAAATAGCCCTTTAACCGTACATTTGACAGATACACGCCCATTGACTTTTTCGTAGATCTTATTGAGATACACGTGATTGTCAAATTTTGTGTCAATATGACAAAGCGTATAGGCGTGAATCTCAACAATATGTATTTTCACCTTAGGGGACAAGAAAAAATGGACTTTTTTCTCCTGCCATGGGGGGCGCTCTTTTGGGGAGTAAAAATTCCTTCACAAATGTGTTGATGGCTGGACATTGCATCATCCTAGAAAACCTGGAGGCCAGTGAGGACAAAAATAAGAAGTTATAAGACTTTTAAATATGTGGATTTTAGGGTTATCTTTGGCGCCCCCTAGAACCTAAACCGTGGGGTGCAGCGTCATGATTTGAATAACTTTTAATGGCCATGGGGTGTAGATTGGCCTGAGCAAATGTGGTGCCAGTGGAACGAAAGCCTTAGGAGGAGTTAGCCACATTCCAATGTGTGCGGATCGGCAAAAAATGCGGAATAACCCTTTAACCGTACATTTGACAGATATGCGCGCATTGACTTTTTCGTAGATCTTATTGAGATACATGTGTGTGTTAATATTTGTGTCATTTTGCCAAAGCGTACAGGCGTGACACTAAACAATGTGTATTTTCACCTTAGGGGACAAGAAAAAATAGACTTTTTTCTCCTGCCATGGGGGGCGCTCTTTTGGGGAGTAAAATTTCCTTCACAAATGTGTTGATGGCTGGACATTGCATTATCCTAGAAAACTTGGAGGCCAGTGAGGACAAAAATAAAAAGTTATAAGACTTTTAAGAATGTGGATTTTTGGGTTATCTTTGGCGCCCCCTAGAACCTTCACCGTGGGTTGCAGCGTCATGATTTGTACAACTTTTAATGGCCATGGGGTGTAGATTGGCCTGAGAAAATTTGGTGCCGGTGGAACGAAAGCCTTCGGAGGAGTTAGCGAAATTCCAATGTGTGCGGATCGGCAAAAAATGCAAAATAGCCCTTTAACCGTACATTATACAGATACGCGCTCTATGACTTTTTTGTAGATCTTATTGAGATACACGTGATTGTCAAATGTTTTGTCAATATGACAAAGCGTTTAGGCGTGACACTCAACAATGTGTATTTTCATGTTAGGGGACAAGAAAAACTTGACTTTTTTCTCCTGCCATGGGGGGGCGCTCTTTTGGGGAGTAAAAATTCCTTCACAAATGTGTTGATGGCTTGACATGGCATCATCCTAGAAAACTTGGAGGCCAGTGAGGACAAAAATAAAAAGTTATAAGACTTTTAAGAATGTGGATTTTTGGGTTATCTTTGGCGCCCCCTAGAACGTAAACCGTGGGGTGCAGCATCATGATTTGTACAACTTTTAATGGCCATGGGGTGTAGATTGGCCTGAGCAAATGTGGTGCCGGTGGAACGAAAGCCTTCGGAGGAGTTAGCGAAATTCCAATGTGTGCGGATCGGCAAAAAATGCGAAATAGCCCTTTAACGGTACATTTGACAGATACGCCCGCACTGACTTTTTTGTAGATCTTATTGAGATACACATGTGTGTCAAATTTTGTGTCATTTTGACAAAGTGCACAGGCGTGACAGGTGAGTTTTCACCATAGGGGGCGCTATGCAGCCATTTTTCATTTTTTTGTTTGGGCGACTTCAGAATATCAAATTTTTCACCAGGCCCGGTCGTCCTGCCAAATTTCCTGAGTTTTCGCCAGTGGGAAGTGGGCCATTTTCCAGTTTAAAGCGGAGGAAAAATAATAACTAGGGCCCCGTTGGGGCACTGGCGGGCCCGAGCCGCGTCGCCGCGCCGCCCCCAGCGCGACCGCCTCCCTGATCCATTAGGTTTAAATAGAAAAAGCATTAAAATATGTTAGGATTATAGCATATGACAAATGTGTGCCTCTCAGTGGCCATAACTACTTTGTCTGCTGGCTCTGCAGTCGATTGACGCTCCCCAGCGTTCAAGTCACATGACAAATTTAACCGGATGTAGCTGCAAGACGGAGCCTCGTTGACTCTCCGTTTCAACTTATCTCCAAAGTGAGGACCTTAAACTATATACCAGTTTTTAAATTGTGTTGATAGGCCAAATAAAACCAGAGTTATGATAAATTATGTCTGCGATACTTTTTTTCTGCTTATTTTGATCACGTTCGGCGCTCGATCGCGCTGTATGAGACAGGAAAACATAGCATGCAGACATTAGCGACAGCTCTTACAGGCGGAAAAGGCTTGCCAAAAGAAAAAAAAAAACACACCACAACATCTCTCCTATTGGTGGAAAACTTCACCACAACAACCAATCCAAAATTATATGGTGACTGATTGACAAGGGGCGGGCGCTTACGTTCTTCCTGCAACATGAGAAGGGATGGAGGGACTCTCAGCAGGGATGCAGTCTGGGACACGTAGTTGCAAACCTAGCGACTTTGTTGTTAGATTCAATGACTTTTCAGACCCCCTAACGACTTTTTTTTTGAAAGAAAGGGACTTTTATCGACTTCTTCTGGAGATTAGAGACTCTGACATGAAGCAGGCTTTTCCTTACTGAGGAGTTAGCAACGCTGCTAAGGGTGCAGAGCCACACATGCGCTCTGAGCTCTGCATGGGAGACTGAAGCTGACAGAGCTGCAGCAGTTAGCAGGTTTCACCCTCAGAGACCACCAGGGGTTCATGTTGAGGCATTTTCAGTTTGTTTTATTGTTTTTTTGCCATAGACACTGTCAGCACAATCTGCAGTTACACTAACAAAAATGCTGGACAAAACAAAGAATTATGGAAAAATTACACATGGACTAACATAGAGGAGGATCTACACAAGTTTTTTACATCATGTTTTACATCATGCATCATTTACATCATGTTTTTTTTGTAGTGGCATAAATAAAAAGTGACATTTGTGAGACTATACAGTGTTTTGTAAATAATTTTACAAAGAACGCCTGGGCCATTGCCTGCATTTTGATGTAAATAGAGGTAAATTACTATGTTCTTTGTTAAAAATTTGCATATGTTTTGAAGTTTAAAATTTTTATTTGATGTTTAAGTTTTAAAAACAGTTCATCACACATATTTGTGGTTTTCAGAGTAAAAATGTTACTTTTTTCCACTCGGATATTATGTTTTGTGTGTGAATTTGGGTCCATTGTGTAAAAACAGTATGTGAAAATGATAAAATAACTGTAAAGTCACACAGGTGAGGTTGTGCTGAAAAAAATGATACCAGGCAAGGCAAGGTAAAAATTTTTTAAGAGGAAATATAAAGGTAAAATCTAAAGTAGTCAAAAACGGCCAATAGTGACTCCCAGTCTCCATAGACAAGTCCCTTTGGCGCCACTCAGTGGGCAAAACTACTTTGTCTGCTGTAATGTATATTTGGGTCATCTTTGGCACCCCCTAGAACGTAAACCGTGGGGTGCAGCGTCATGATTTTTACAACTTTGAATGGCCATGGGTTGTAGATTGGCCTGAGCAAATTTGGTGTCATTGGGACGAAAGCCTTAGGAGGAGTTAGCCACATTCCAATGTGTGCAAATCGGCAAAAAATGCAAAATAGCCCTTTTACCGTACATTATACACATACGCGCTCTTTGACTTTTTCGTAGATCTTATTGAGATACACGTGATTGTCAAATTTTGTGTCAATATGACAAAGCGTTCAGGCATGACACTCAACAATGTGTGTTTTCACCTTAGGGGACAAGAAAAAATGGACTTTTTTCTCCTGCCATGGGGGGGCGCTCTTTTGGGGAGTAAAAATTCCTTCACAAATGTGTTGATGGCTGGACATTGCATCATCCTAGAAAACTTGGAGGCCAGTGAGGACAAAAATAAAAAGTTATAAGACTTTTAAGAATGTGGATTTTGGGTTATCTTTGGCGCCCCCTAGAACCTAAACCGTGGGGTGCAGCGCATGATTTGTACAACTTTTAATGGCCATGGGGTGTAGATTGACCTGAGCAAATTTGGTGTCATTGGGACGAAAGCCTTAGGAGGAGTTAGCCACATTCCAATGTGTGCGGATCGGCAAAAATGCGAAATAGCCCTTTAACCGTACATTATACAGATACGCGCTCTTTGACTTTTTCGTAGATCTTATTGAGATACACGTGATTGTCAAATTTTGTGTCAATATGACAAAGCGTTCAGGCGTGACACTCTACAATGTGTATTTTCATGTTAGGGGACAAGAAAAAATGGACTTTTTTCACCTGCCATGGGGGGGCGCTCTTTTGGGGAGTAAAAATTCCTTCACAAATGTGTTGATGGATGGACATTGCATCATCTTAGAAAACTTGGGGGCCAGTGAGGACAAAAATAAAAAGTTATAAGACTTTTAAAAATGTGGATTTTTGGGTTATCTTTGGCGCCCCCTAGAACGTAAACCGTGGGGTGCAGCGTCATGATTTGTACAACTTTAGATGGCCATGGGGTGTAGATTGGCCTGAGCAAATTTGGTGCCAGTGGAACGAAAGCCTTCGGAGGAGTTAGCGAAATTCCAATGTGTGCGGATCGGCAAAAAATGCGAAATAGCCCTTTAACGGTACATTTGACAGATACGCCCGCACTGACTTTTTTGTAGGTCTTATTGAGATACACATGTGTGTCAAATTTTGTGTCATTTTGACAAAGCGTACAGGCGTCAGGTGAATTTTCACCATAGGGGGCGCTATGGAGCCATTTTTCATTTTTTGTTTGGGCGACTTCAGAATATCGAATTTTTCACCAGGCCCGGTCTTCCTGCCAAATTTCCTGAGTTTTCACCAGTGGGAAGTGGGCCATTTTCCAGTTTAAAGCGGAGGAAAAATAATAACGAAAGAAGGAAACATGCAGGAACAAGAGGGCTCTCGCAGCTGCTTAGCAGCTACGCTCGGGCCCTAACTAGGGCCCCGTTGGGGCACTGGCGGGCCCGAGCCGCGTTGCGCCGCCCCCAGTGCGACCGCCTCCCCCTCCCGATCGCGTCACACTCAAGGTCCAAAGATGGTGTGCGCACTTGTCTGTGGTCATTTCCCATTATAATGAATGGGAGGCGCAGTTTCTACCAAAACACTCGCTGCAGACAAACTACATGTCCTATTTGAAAAAAGTCTGGACCATGAGTGAGGCCACAAACACAGCTAGGATATATCCAAACGGCAAGTTGCTCCTTGTTACGGTGTTGCCGGGAGAGCGATGCGATTGAGCCATTGAGTGATGGGCAGGAAAAACTTGACTGTTTCTCCTGCCATGGGGGATGGGGGATGGGGGGGGGATGTGGATTCTTTTAAGAATGTGGATATTTGGGTCATCTTTGGCGCCCCCTAGAACGTGAGCCGTGGGGTGCAGCGTCATGATTTTTACAACTTTGAATGGCCATGGGGTGTAGATTGGCCTGAGCAAATTTGGTGTCAGTGGGACGAAAGCCTTAGGAGGAGTTAGCCACATTCCAATGTGTGCGAATCGGCAGAAAATGCAAAATAGCCCTTTAACCGTACATTTGACAGATACACGCCCATTGACTTTTTCGTAGATCTTATTGAGATACACGTGATTGTCAAATTTTGTGTCAATATGACAAAGCGTATAGGCGTGAATCTCAACAATATGTATTTTCACCTTAGGGGACAAGAAAAAATGGACTTTTTTCTCCTGCCATGGGGGGGCGCTCTTTTGGGGAGTAAAAATTCCTTCACAAATGTGTTGATGGCTGGACATTGCATCATCCTAGAAAACCTGGAGGCCAGTGAGGACAAAAATAAGAAGTTATAAGACTTTTAAATATGTGGATTTTAGGGTTATCTTTGGCGCCCCCTAGAACCTAAACCGTGGGGTGCAGCGTCATGATTTGAATAACTTTTAATGGCCATGGGGTGTAGATTGGCCTGAGCAAATGTGGTGCCAGTGGAACGAAAGCCTTAGGAGGAGTTAGCCACATTCCAATGTGTGCGGATCGGCAAAAAATGCGGAATAACCCTTTAACCGTACATTTGACAGATATGCGCGCATTGACTTTTTCGTAGATCTTATTGAGATACATGTGTGTGTTAATATTTGTGTCATTTTGCCAAAGCGTACAGGCGTGACACTAAACAATGTGTATTTTCACCTTAGGGGACAAGAAAAAATAGACTTTTTTCTCCTGCCATGGGGGGCGCTCTTTTGGGGAGTAAAATTTCCTTCACAAATGTGTTGATGGCTGGACATTGCATTATCCTAGAAAACTTGGAGGCCAGTGAGGACAAAAATAAAAAGTTATAAGACTTTTAAGAATGTGGATTTTTGGGTTATCTTTGGCGCCCCCTAGAACCTTCACCGTGGGTTGCAGCGTCATGATTTGTACAACTTTTAATGGCCATGGGGTGTAGATTGGCCTGAGAAAATTTGGTGCCGGTGGAACGAAAGCCTTCGGAGGAGTTAGCGAAATTCCAATGTGTGCGGATCGGCAAAAAATGCAAAATAGCCCTTTAACCGTACATTATACAGATACGCGCTCTATGACTTTTTTGTAGATCTTATTGAGATACACGTGATTGTCAAATGTTTTGTCAATATGACAAAGCGTTTAGGCGTGACACTCAACAATGTGTATTTTCATGTTAGGGGACAAGAAAAACTTGACTTTTTTCTCCTGCCATGGGGGGCGCTCTTTTGGGGAGTAAAAATTCCTTCACAAATGTGTTGATGGCTTGACATGGCATCATCCTAGAAAACTTGGAGGCCAGTGAGGACAAAAATAAAAAGTTATAAGACTTTTAAGAATGTGGATTTTTGGGTTATCTTTGGCGCCCCCTAGAACGTAAACCGTGGGGTGCAGCATCATGATTTGTACAACTTTTAATGGCCATGGGGTGTAGATTGGCCTGAGCAAATGTGGTGCCGGTGGAACGAAAGCCTTCGGAGGAGTTAGCGAAATTCCAATGTGTGCGGATCGGCAAAAAATGCGAAATAGCCCTTTAACGGTACATTTGACAGATACGCCCGCACTGACTTTTTTGTAGATCTTATTGAGATACACATGTGTGTCAAATTTTGTGTCATTTTGACAAAGTGCACAGGCGTCAGGTGAGTTTTCACCATAGGGGGCGCTATGCAGCCATTTTTCATTTTTTTGTTTGGGCGACTTCAGAATATCAAATTTTTCACCAGGCCCGGTCGTCCTGCCAAATTTCCTGAGTTTTCGCCAGTGGGAAGTGGGCCATTTTCCAGTTTAAAGCGGAGGAAAAATAATAACTGAACTAGGGCCCCGTTGGGGCACTGGCGGGCCCGAGCCGCGTCGCGCCGCCCCCAGCGCGACCGCCTCCCTGATCCATTAGGTTTAAATAGAAAAAGCATTAAAATATGTTAGGATTATAGCATATGACAAATGTGTGCCTCTCAGTGGCCATAACTACTTTGTCTGCTGGCTCTGCAGTCGATTGACGCTCCCCAGCGTTCAAGTCACATGACAAATTTAACCGGATGTAGCTGCAAGACGGAGCCTCGTTGACTCTCCGTTTCAACTTATCTCCAAAGTGAGGACCTTAAACTATATACCAGTTTTTAAATTGTGTTGATAGGCCAAATAAAACCAGAGTTATGATAAATTATGTCTGCGATACTTTTTTTCTGCTTATTTTGATCACGTTCGGCGCTCGATCGCGCTGTATGAGACAGGAAAACATAGCATGCAGACATTAGCGACAGCTCTTACAGGCGGAAAAGGCTTGCCAAAAGAAAAAAAAAAACACACCACAGCATCTCTCCTATTGGTGGAAAACTTCACCACAACAACCAATCCAAAATTATATGGTGACTGATTGACAAGGGGCGGGCGCTTACGTTCTTCCTGCAACATGAGAAGGGATGGAGGGACTCTCAGCAGGGATGCAGTCTGGGACACGTAGTTGCAAACCTAGCGACTTTGTTGTTAGATTCAATGACTTTTCAGACCCCCTAACGACTTTTTTTTTGAAAGAAAGGGACTTTTATCGACTTCTTCTGGAGATTAGAGACTCTGACATGAAGCAGGCTTTTCCTTACTGAGGAGTTAGCAACGCTGCTAAGGGTGCAGAGCCACACATGCGCTCTGAGCTCTGCATGGGAGACTGAAGCTGACAGAGCTGCAGCAGTTAGCAGGTTTCACCCTCAGAGACCACCAGGGGTTCATGTTGAGGCATTTTCAGTTTGTTTTATTGTTTTTTTGCCATAGACACTGTCAGCACAATCTGCAGTTACACTAACAAAAATGCTGGACAAAACAAAGAATTATGGAAAAATTACACATGGACTAACATAGAGGAGGATCTACACAAGTTTTTTACATCATGTTTTACATCATGCATCATTTACATCATGTTTTTTTTGTAGTGGCATAAATAAAAAGTGACATTTGTGAGACTATACAGTGTTTTGTAAATAATTTTACAAAGAACGCCTGGGCCATTGCCTGCATTTTGATGTAAATAGAGGTAAATTACTATGTTCTTTGTTAAAAATTTGCATATGTTTTGAAGTTTAAAATTTTTATTTGATGTTTAAGTTTTAAAAACAGTTCATCACACATATTTGTGGTTTTCAGAGTAAAAATGTTACTTTTTTCCACTCGGATATTATGTTTTGTGTGTGAATTTGGGTCCATTGTGTAAAAACAGTATGTGAAAATGATAAAATAACTGTAAAGTCACACAGGTGAGGTTGTGCTGAAAAAAATGATACCAGGCAAGGCAAGGTAAAAATTTTTTAAGAGGAAATATAAAGGTAAAATCTAAAGTAGTCAAAAACGGCCAATAGTGACTCCCAGTCTCCATAGACAAGTCCCTTTGGCGCCACTCAGTGGGCAAAACTACTTTGTCTGCTGTAATGTATATTTGGGTCATCTTTGGCACCCCCTAGAACGTAAACCGTGGGGTGCAGCGTCATGATTTTTACAACTTTGAATGGCCATGGGTTGTAGATTGGCCTGAGCAAATTTGGTGTCATTGGGACGAAAGCCTTAGGAGGAGTTAGCCACATTCCAATGTGTGCAAATCGGCAAAAAATGCAAAATAGCCCTTTTACCGTACATTATACACATACGCGCTCTTTGACTTTTTCGTAGATCTTATTGAGATACACGTGATTGTCAAATTTTGTGTCAATATGACAAAGCGTTCAGGCATGACACTCAACAATGTGTGTTTTCACCTTAGGGGACAAGAAAAAATGGACTTTTTTCTCCTGCCATGGGGGGGCGCTCTTTTGGGGAGTAAAAATTCCTTCACAAATGTGTTGATGGCTGGACATTGCATCATCCTAGAAAACTTGGAGGCCAGTGAGGACAAAAATAAAAAGTTATAAGACTTTTAAGAATGTGGATTTTGGGTTATCTTTGGCGCCCCCTAGAACCTAAACCGTGGGGTGCAGCGCATGATTTGTACAACTTTTAATGGCCATGGGGTGTAGATTGACCTGAGCAAATTTGGTGTCATTGGGACGAAAGCCTTAGGAGGAGTTAGCCACATTCCAATGTGTGCGGATCGGCAGAAAATGCGAAATAGCCCTTTAACCGTACATTATACAGATACGCGCTCTTTGACTTTTTCGTAGATCTTATTGAGATACACGTGATTGTCAAATTTTGTGTCAATATGACAAAGCGTTCAGGCGTGACACTCTACAATGTGTATTTTCATGTTAGGGGACAAGAAAAAATGGACTTTTTTCACCTGCCATGGGGGGGCGCTCTTTTGGGGAGTAAAAATTCCTTCACAAATGTGTTGATGGATGGACATTGCATCATCTTAGAAAACTTGGGGGCCAGTGAGGACAAAAATAAAAAGTTATAAGACTTTTAAAAATGTGGATTTTTGGGTTATCTTTGGCGCCCCCTAGAACGTAAACCGTGGGGTGCAGCGTCATGATTTGTACAACTTTAGATGGCCATGGGGTGTAGATTGGCCTGAGCAAATTTGGTGCCAGTGGAACGAAAGCCTTCGGAGGAGTTAGCGAAATTCCAATGTGTGCGGATCGGCAAAAAATGCGAAATAGCCCTTTAACGGTACATTTGACAGATACGCCCGCACTGACTTTTTTGTAGGTCTTATTGAGATACACATGTGTGTCAAATTTTGTGTCATTTTGACAAAGCGTACAGGCGTCAGGTGAATTTTCACCATAGGGGGCGCTATGGAGCCATTTTTCATTTTTTTGTTTGGGCGACTTCAGAATATCGAATTTTTCACCAGGCCCGGTCTTCCTGCCAAATTTCCTGAGTTTTCACCAGTGGGAAGTGGGCCATTTTCCAGTTTAAAGCGGAGGAAAAATAATAACGAAAGAAGGAAACATGCAGGAACAAGAGGGCTCTCGCAGCTGCTTAGCAGCTACGCTCGGGCCCTAACTAGGGCCCCGTTGGGGCACTGGCGGGCCCGAGCCGCGTTGCGCCGCCCCCAGTGCGACCGCCTCCCCCTCCCGATCGCGTCACACTCAAGGTCCAAAGATGGTGTGCGCACTTGTCTGTGGTCATTTCCCATTATAATGAATGGGAGGCGCAGTTTCTACCAAAACACTCGCTGCAGACAAACTACATGTCCTATTTGAAAAAAGTCTGGACCATGAGTGAGGCCACAAACACAGCTAGGATATATCCAAACGGCAAGTTGCTCCTTGTTACGGTGTTGCCGGGAGAGCGATGCGATTGAGCCATTGAGTGATGGGCAGGAAAAACTTGACTGTTTCTCCTGCCATGGGGGATGGGGGATGGGGGGGGGGATGTGGATTCTTTTAAGAATGTGGATATTTGGGTCATCTTTGGCGCCCCCTAGAACGTGAGCCGTGGGGTGCAGCGTCATGATTTTTACAACTTTGAATGGCCATGGGGTGTAGATTGGCCTGAGCAAATTTGGTGTCAGTGGGACGAAAGCCTTAGGAGGAGTTAGCCACATTCCAATGTGTGCGAATCGGCAGAAAATGCAAAATAGCCCTTTAACCGTACATTTGACAGATACACGCCCATTGACTTTTTCGTAGATCTTATTGAGATACACGTGATTGTCAAATTTTGTGTCAATATGACAAAGCGTATAGGCGTGAATCTCAACAATATGTATTTTCACCTTAGGGGACAAGAAAAAATGGACTTTTTTCTCCTGCCATGGGGGGGCGCTCTTTTGGGGAGTAAAAATTCCTTCACAAATGTGTTGATGGCTGGACATTGCATCATCCTAGAAAACCTGGAGGCCAGTGAGGACAAAAATAAGAAGTTATAAGACTTTTAAATATGTGGATTTTAGGGTTATCTTTGGCGCCCCCTAGAACCTAAACCGTGGGGTGCAGCGTCATGATTTGAATAACTTTTAATGGCCATGGGGTGTAGATTGGCCTGAGCAAATGTGGTGCCAGTGGAACGAAAGCCTTAGGAGGAGTTAGCCACATTCCAATGTGTGCGGATCGGCAAAAAATGCGGAATAACCCTTTAACCGTACATTTGACAGATATGCGCGCATTGACTTTTTCGTAGATCTTATTGAGATACATGTGTGTGTTAATATTTGTGTCATTTTGCCAAAGCGTACAGGCGTGACACTAAACAATGTGTATTTTCACCTTAGGGGACAAGAAAAAATAGACTTTTTTCTCCTGCCATGGGGGGGCGCTCTTTTGGGGAGTAAAATTTCCTTCACAAATGTGTTGATGGCTGGACATTGCATTATCCTAGAAAACTTGGAGGCCAGTGAGGACAAAAATAAAAAGTTATAAGACTTTTAAGAATGTGGATTTTTGGGTTATCTTTGGCGCCCCCTAGAACCTTCACCGTGGGTTGCAGCGTCATGATTTGTACAACTTTTAATGGCCATGGGGTGTAGATTGGCCTGAGAAAATTTGGTGCCGGTGGAACGAAAGCCTTCGGAGGAGTTAGCGAAATTCCAATGTGTGCGGATCGGCAAAAAATGCAAAATAGCCCTTTAACCGTACATTATACAGATACGCGCTCTATGACTTTTTTGTAGATCTTATTGAGATACACGTGATTGTCAAATGTTTTGTCAATATGACAAAGCGTTTAGGCGTGACACTCAACAATGTGTATTTTCATGTTAGGGGACAAGAAAAACTTGACTTTTTTCTCCTGCCATGGGGGGGCGCTCTTTTGGGGAGTAAAAATTCCTTCACAAATGTGTTGATGGCTTGACATGGCATCATCCTAGAAAACTTGGAGGCCAGTGAGGACAAAAATAAAAAGTTATAAGACTTTTAAGAATGTGGATTTTTGGGTTATCTTTGGCGCCCCCTAGAACGTAAACCGTGGGGTGCAGCATCATGATTTTTACAACTTTTAATGGCCATGGGGTGTAGATTGGCCTGAGCAAATGTGGTGCCGGTGGAACGAAAGCCTTCGGAGGAGTTAGCGAAATTCCAATGTGTGCGGATCGGCAAAAAATGCGAAATAGCCCTTTAACGGTACATTTGACAGATACGCCCGCACTGACTTTTTTGTAGATCTTATTGAGATACACATGTGTGTCAAATTTTGTGTCATTTTGACAAAGTGCACAGGCGTCAGGTGAGTTTTCACCATAGGGGGCGCTATGCAGCCATTTTTCATTTTTTTGTTTGGGCGACTTCAGAATATCAAATTTTTCACCAGGCCCGGTCGTCCTGCCAAATTTCCTGAGTTTTCGCCAGTGGGAAGTGGGCCATTTTCCAGTTTAAAGCGGAGGAAAAATAACGAAAGAAGAATCCATCAGGAACAAGAGGGCTCTCGCAGCTGCTTAGCAGCTACGCTCGGGCCCTAATAATAACAAAAGAAGAATCCATCAGGAACAAGAGGGCTCTCGCAGCTGCTTAGCAGCTACGCTCGGGCCCTAACTAGGGCCCCGTTGGGGCACTGGCGGGCCCGAGCCGTGTCGCGCCGCCCCCAGCGCGACCGCCTACCCCTCCCGATCGCGTCACACTCAAGGTCCAAAGATGGTGTGCGCACTTGTCTGTGGTCATTTACCATTATAATGAATGGGAGGCGCAGTTTCTACCAAAACGCTCGCTGCAGACAAACTCCATGTCCTTTTTGAAAAAAGTCTGGACCATGACTGAGGGCACAAACACAGCTAGTATATATCCAAATGGCAAGGTGCTCCTCCTTTCGGTTTTGCCGAGAGAGCGATGCGTTTGAGCCATTGAGCGATGGGCAGGAAAAACTTGACTTTTTCTCCTGCCATGGGGGGGCGCTCTTTTGGGGAGTAAAAATTCCTTCACAAATGTGTTGATGGCTGGACATTGCATCATCCTAGAGAACTTGGAGGCCAGTGAGGACAAAAATAAAAAGTTATAAGACTTTTAAGACTGTGGATTTTTGGGTTATCTTTGGCGCCCCCTAGAACGTAAACCGTGGGGTGCAGCGTCATGATTTGTACAACTTTGAATGGACATGGGGTGTAGATTGACCTGAGCAAATTTGAAGCCGATGGGACAAAAGCTTTAGGAGGAGTTAGCCACATTCCAATGTGTGCGAATCGGCAAAAAATGCGAAATAGCCCTTTAACCGTACATTGAACAGATACGCTCGCATTGACTTTTTCGTAGATCTTATTGAGATACATGTGTGTGTCAAATTTTGTGTCATTTTGACAAAGCGTAAAGGCGTGACAGTCAACAATGTGTATTTTCGCCTTAGGAGACAAGAAAAAATGGACTTTTTTCTCCTGCCATGGGGGGGCGCTCTTTTGGCGAGTAAAAATTCCTTCACAAATGTGTTGATGGCTGGACATTGCATCATCCTAGAGAACTTGGAGGCCAGTGAGGACAAAAATAAAAAGTTATAAGACTTTTAAGACTGTGGATATTTGGGTTATCTTTGGCGCCCCCTAGAACGTAAACCGTGGGGTGCAGCATCATGATTTGTACAACTTTTAATGGCCATGGGGTGTAGATTGGCCTGAGCAAATGTGGTGCCGGTGGAACGAAAGCCTTCGGAGGAGTTAGCGAAATTCCAATGTGTGCGGATCGGCAAAAAATGCGAAATAACCCTTTAACCGTACATTTGACAGATACGCCCGCACTGACTTTTTTGTAGATCTTATTGAGATACATGTGTGTGTCAAATTTTGTGTCATTTTGACAAAGCGTAAAGGTGTGACAGTCAATAGTGTGAATTTTCGCCTTAGGAGACAAGAAAAAATGGACTTTTTTCTCCTGCCATGGGGGGCGCTCTTTTGGCGAGTAAAAATTCCTTCACAAATGTGTTGATGGCTGGACATTGCATCATCCTAGAAAACTTGGAGGCCAGTGAGGACAGAAATAAAAAGTTATAAGACTTGTAAGAATGTGGATTTTTGGGTTATCTTTGGCGCCCCCTACAACGTAAACCGTGGGGTGCAGCGTCATGATTTGTACAACTTTGAATGGCCATGGGGTGTAGATTGGCCTGAGCAAATTTGGTGCCGGTGGAACGAAAGCCTTCGGAGGAGTTAGCGAAATTCCAATGTGTGCGGATCGGCAAAAAATGCGAAATAGCCCTTTAAACGTACATTTGACAGATACGCCCGCACTGACTTTTTTGTAGATCTTATTGAGATACACGTGTGTGTCAAATTTTGTGTCATTTTGACAAAGCGTACAGGCGTGACACTCAATCATGTGAATTTTTCACCTTAGGGGGCGCTATGGAGCCATTTTGCATTTGATTGTTTGGGTGACTTCAGAATATCGAATTTTTCACCAGGCCCAGTCGTCCTGCCAAATTTCATGAGTTTTCACCAGTGGGAAGTGGGCCATTTTCCAGTTCAAAGGGGCAGAAAAATAATAAGAAGACTAGGGCCCCGTTGGGGCACTGGCGGGCCCGAGCCGTGTCGCGCCGCCCCCAGCGCGACCGCCTACCCCTCCCGATCGCATCACACTCAAGGTCCAAAGATGGTGTGCGCACTTGTCTGTGGTCATTTACCATTATAATGAATGGGAGGCGCAGTTTCTACCAAAACGCTCGCTGCAGACAAACTCCATGTCCTTTTTGAAAAAAGTCTGGACCATGAGTGAGGGCACAAACACAGCTAGTATATATCCAAATGGCAAGGTGCTCCTCCTTTCGGTTTTGCCGAGAGAGCGATGCGTTTGAGCCATTGAGCGATGGGCAGGAAAAACTTGACTTTTTCTCCTGCCATAGGAGGGCGCTCTTTTGAGGACAAAAATTCCTTCACAAATGTGTTGATGA